AAGCCAATAAGTAACAAAAAATGCCCCACTTCATTCTGGTTACACAAATTCTATCCATCAGCTCCATACCTGCTAATGCCATTAGGAGATCTCAGTTAAGGCCTGGGTTTAACTGTCAGGAAATGGACAACACTGCACCGAAGTGCTGGGCAATGGAACGGGCTGTGGAAGAATGGGCCTTGTCTGGGGCCAGTCCCCTTTCTGTAACCCTACCTACCACAGCTGTATATGTACATGCTGGGCAGAATGTCCTCTTTATGGGCTCACATAGCTCACATTTCTCCAAGCAAACTTTCCAAATCCACCAGGGTGAACAAGAACCTTTGCTCTGAGTGCTGGTGTTAGTGGGAGAATAACTCAGATCCCCTTCACTCACAGCTCCCTCTTCTTACCCATGTTACAGTTCCTCATCTGGGCACACAATTTAATTATTTACTGAAGGTGAATTATCTACAGGAGAGAGAGCCAGCCAAAAAGGGCAGTAACAGAGGGTACAGGGCTGCTAATGAGCAGTGGCCAAGGAGACGTCAGGGTAACAGAGATTGTGGTTTTAAACAGCGGCCTTGTTAATTTCAGAATAAGAACATAAGAACGGCCGTACCGGGTCAGACCAAAGGTCCATCTAGCCCAGTATCCTGTCTACCGACAGTGGCCAATGCCAATGCTCCAGAGGGAGTGGACCAACAGGCAATGATCAAGTGATCTCTCTCCTGTCATCCATCTCCATCCTCTGACAAACAGAGGCTAGGGACACCATTCCTTACCCATCCTGGCTAATAGCCATTAATGGACTTAACCACCATGAATTTATCCAGTTCTCTTTTAAATGGTGTTATAGTCCTAGCCTTCACAACCTCCTCAGGTAAGGAGTTCCACAAGTTGACTGTGCGCTGCGTGAAGAAGAACTTCCTTGTGTTTGTTTTAAACCTGCTGCCTATTAATTTCATTTGGTGACTCCCTAGATGTGGGGAGGGGTACTGGGGATTCAAGGGCCTGTTTAGTATTCAAAGTCTAAAGCCAGTGCACATTTTCAGATTTTCACTGCACATTTATTTTAGGTCCCTGGAACATCTACAGCAGCTAGAAGGATTGGGAACCCACATTTCTTAATAGCATACTTAGCATAACCATTTACAGAATTGTTTTCAACCTCACTGTTGTTTACAACAATTCCCTTGGAAGATGCAAACCCACATATAATATCCCCTTAACTTTTCCTCTGTTGTGCACTCCGATTTGTTATTGTAGAGCTGTTCAGGAGTGTTGCCTGCACTGTGCATACAGTCTTGTTACTATTATTTATTTATAATCTATTTTGTGGAAGCCCTGGGATAGAGTGATCTGTCACTGAAAGTGACTGCTGATTGGCTGGAGTTCAGTGGGGGTGGAGTTAAGGAGCTATAAAGCTTGCCCCAGCTTCTGAAAGAGTCAGATTAGCCTGGGAGTTTGGTTTAGACAGATGCCTTCTGTGGATTTCATAGATTTAGTCAGTTTGGGACTGAAGCTAGCCTGCCTTAGTCAGAGGCTTGTCCCTGCTAGTAGATACATTTTAGTTTGGAAGTGTGGCTCAGACAGGGGCCTATCCAGCTTAAAAGATTTGCTCTAGCACTGATAGACTTTGTCTAGGCAAGACAGAGACGTAAGATTTAGTTTTGTTTAGGCAGAGACCCTCAGCAGCCCTGAAAGATTGTGTTTAGCCTGAAAACTCAGCCCAGCAAAGGCTTGTTCAAACTCTGAGTGGGTTTCCTTTGACTGGGAGCTATAATATTAGGAAGTTGCCATGGGAATTGTTCTAATTTATTTCAATTTCTATGAGATCTAAAATTTTAAAAAAGACATTTTCCTATATTTCTTAATGCCTCTGAGGGTTTTTTCCTGCCTGTTTCCCCCTTCCTGGTATTTGAGTCTATGACTCATGGTTCATACACATTAGACTGCTTTGTGACAATCACCTAAGGGACTCAACCAGATTGGGGCCCCAATGGGCTAGGCACTGTACAAACAGATAGCAAATGACAGTTCACGTGAGATGGGCTGCACATAACCATTGTATACAGCCCCATAAATCAGTGTATCATTGTAGGGTAACGCAGGAGCACTAAGACGTTTGTATTTTTGGGAAGGTAAAATAACAATACAGAAACATGGCATAGACAAGAAAATTCAGTCTCCCAACCTTATGGTGTCCCTGTAAATTTACCTCCCTCAACCGATGCACAAACCCTGTTAAAGATGTTTAGCATCTTTTCTTTCTTCTTTTGGAATCTTAACCCTATTGCCAGTGGTTCTTGGAATATAGGAATATATTGAGGATGAGATGAGGCCATTAATTGTCACTTACCAATTGAGGACTCTTTCCTCCAGTTCTCCCAGTATCTCCTGGTGTAGTCTGTAGATTTCAGGGATCTCACTCAAGCCCTGCTTGAGCTTCACCTCCTCCCTCTCATTTTCATCCTCATCCCCCAGCACTTTCAAGACTGCTTCATGGAAATCCTGTGAATACATCACCTGTTACACAGCAGCTAAGGCAACAGATCAGAGGTTCTTTATGGCACTTAAACCATTACTATTTTTCCTTTAAATTCCAAAAATTCATTTACAAACAGTCAGGAAACTTTATGGGAATTACAAGATACACCATAAATACTAGCATATCGTGGGCAAAAGAGGAAGGAGAACATAGGATGTATTTTCTTTCACCCATTAGTTTCATGGTTACTGTAAATTTCAGGTTAAAGTCCACATATTGATTACCCAAAACATTTAAAATAATAAAAAAAAGCTAGCTCCGCCTCCCCCCAATCCCATCAGATTATTTAAAAAATAAATTTGGGTACGTTTTGCTTTCTGGGTTTTGAGCCTTTAGGTTGCAATGGGGTCACATTTTCAAGCATTTTTCAGCTAGAAACTTCCTTTTTAAAAAAGAAAAAGGGGAAAAAAAAAAGAAAGATGTGAGTCTTGCATAATCCCATGAGTCCAGCAGCTGGGGCTTCATGGAAAACATCAAATATTGCAAGGCTTGTCATAAAAATTCCAAGAATTGGCAACACTGAATCCAATTCCTAATTTACTGCGGGAAGGATGGCGGAGATATAAATTAAGCTACAGAACCAATCATTTCTTATATGAAATCCACTTTATCCACTATAACTGAGACCCACTTTTCAATAATAATAATAATAATTAATAATAATGATTAATAATGATAATATATTTGGAAAATACCTTTAATCTCGATGTGGTTTAAATACTATATACACATAGGAATAATTTCTCCAGAAGTCAAAAGCAGCCATTCTAGTGTGGTGTGTGACAGCTGTTTAACAGCATACTGCAAAATCATCCAATAGTTTAGCACTGGAAGTGAAGAATCACACATCCAACTAAAACGGCAGGGGGAATTTACAGTAGGTGTGCAGATTAGAAGATGGTCAAAACAGTGGTGCTAACAAACTTATATTCTTGCAAAATATGGCACAGAATCAGTTAGAACTACCTTCATACAACAATTGACTTGAAAATATGTCCAGGTCAGAGTCTGTTTAGAAAATGAAGAAAATATAATACTACAGCATCACAATGGTACCTATTACTACAGTATCATTATGGCATCCTACTCTTCCCAATTAACACTGACATCAGGGTGCTTGATCATATTCTAGTTAATACAAACGTCATGATAGAAAATACATATATTCCTGAAATACCGTCATGACATGAAAAGAGAGAAAAGAATGAATTAGATGAAAGAAACATATTGTACTGGGAGCTCTTATTTTTCAAGAAAGGTGGGAGTTTCCATATATTACATTCACAAAAATACAATTTACATGCAACTCATCAGGACATGTAACATATGGGTAGCAGGATTTTAAGTGGGATGAGAAAATAAAATAAAATCCTTTACTAGGGAGTTTTCCAGGGAGAACTTCGAAAAGGTCTTGGACACCGTAATTCTTATCTCTTTGTTGGTATTGTAAATCAAATTCCCAATGTTCTTTACTTTCTTCTTTAATTCAGAAATTTGTTGATATCTATTCATCTCTTTTGCATTCCCAAAGAATCTAACTGCATATATATCAGGGCATATGCATTGGGCATAATCAGAGGGTCCATTTCTAGAGAATTTACATGAGACTAAAAATAGGAGGTAAATCACCAAAACTGCTAAAACTGCAGGTAAAGCACCTAAACATCATTATTTTATGAAGCCCTGCTAAACAAGGTATGGGAAATCAAAGAAAATATAATAGTCCAAAATCATTCTATTGTAACTGTAGAATGATGTAATTACACAAGGGGTACATTTGCGGCAAGGCTTTAATGAAGTGACTAATTTTCTCATGGGACCATTAAAGATCCCTAATGCTTTCCCCAATTTTTCTTTACTTTAATATCACTTTGAAGCCACCTTTTTTTTTCAGCCTGAAGTCTCACAAACATAATATTCTACACTACCTCTCCTGAGGGTTGTTTTGCTGGGTGGTGCGCAACATCAGAGGTGACTGCCTTTCCATCGTGGGAAAGTAATTCCATTGTGAATGCATATAGTTTTGGAAGTACATTGTTATGCAAAGTACTATATAAATGAAAGGTGGTTGTATTGGATTAAATGCATCCACTAGACTCAGTGGAAATGAGGAACATCAGGGAAAAATGTAGCGTATTATCTCTTTTGCTCAAGGTCAACTGTATGGAACTCCCTTCAGAAGCCATCTTAATGGCTTCAGAGCTGATAATCTATCCAGTTATGAGCTTTCTGAACTAAAATGCTGATATTCCATTGGAATAGTGTGTCCTTATAAGAATGCACAGCAGCAAAATCATGTTCTGTAGTAGAAAGGTTAATAGTTTGTTGTTGAGTGGGGTGAATCTTCACCCTAAACTAGTGCTACTGTTGTGTCTTGCCAGCTCAGGGGTTAGACGTCAGGTCTCCTACACAGTAGCACAGATTATTAGAGAGTAGCAATCCAAGCTCAAGAAAATTCTAAAGAACAAAACTAGAGGTATTGCTGTGACACATAACACTCCAGCACCTAATTCTTCAGTATCACTACAACAACAAAGCATTATTGGACTGAACAGAGAGGATATTAGCCAATCCAGAAATATGCCTGGAGAGCAGAACTGTTAATGGATACAAATTCTCCTTTTTATTCCCCTGAAACGGATGTTAGGAGATGAGTCTGAGCCAGGCAGCCGGGTGTTCCTTAGTCTGGACCAGGTAGGGCTCCTGTGGTCAAATTTCCTGTTTTCCGCCAATTGGAGCTTAATAGGTGAAATAACTGGATCCCACATTGTCTACGAAAATAAATGAGCATTTGGGAAACTGGAAGCACATTCCAGCTCGTGATGAGGGCAGGCGCTGGAGAGCCATACGGAATCACTTAAAAAGTCATACAGAACTTTTCCCAATCCTTCCTTTGCATCCCAATAAACTAAGAAGTGTCTGGAGTTTTATTGCAGAAGTGGGTGGGAGGAGAGAGAAAGGGAAAGAAAGAGAGAGAGGGAGCACAATTAATTGCAAAGCCAGCTTGAAAGCGAGGCCTATTAATTGTAGGGGTTGAAAGCTCCCAATGACTACTTACAGAGCAGCAGTGGCAGATGTGGAGAGTATAAAACTTCCTGTTTCATAAAAAGATGATCTGTCCTTATCTGAGAGACCATAAAGCAAGGGGGCGCTCCATTAACTCTTGCTAAAGGTAAAGATCTTTGCATGAGTCTGAAGACAGCCCCAGGAAGGACATAGCCTGGTCAGTCACATAAGCAGATCCTGGAAAAAAATGCAGTTGACCACAGGATAGCCTGTTTCTTTCATTACGATTCTCATGATCTACACCTTCTCTCCTGCTCCCATTCCAGCATTGTTTTCATTTGTAGAAATATTTTACTCTCTGTGTGTATGTGTCTATGTAGGCCGTGATGATGTGCTGTCACCTACCAGGTGGGGTTGGGGAGGGGCGGAGGTCTATTTCACATAATTTAACATGCATATAACACACAAGGAAATACTGCAGTGTGAGAGATCCAAGGGAGGCTTAGAATCATGAGACACCAGATTGGTTGCCCCAGTCACTGAAACTCGATGTCTACAGAATAGGTATCAGCAGAGCCAGCTTCCTCACACACTGTCTCATGAATGTACCTCTCATCTGACCATAGCAACCACCTCTAGAGACAAGAGGGGAGCTCAACTTCTATGGTCCACTTAGTTTCTCTGCTGAGTGCAGTGTTGCCAATCAGAGCCAATGAGGCTGGTGGTTTTTGTGATGTGGATATCTGTCTCCAGGGAACTGGACTAAGACTACTTCAGTGGTGACTTTTAAAAGCTGAGTTATGTGTCCACATAGCAAAAGCTGTCACCTCAAGTGGCACTCATAGAGGAATCTGGTTGGAAGTCTCAGCAGAGACGCCATGGATTAAATGGGCCATAGAGAATGAATTCACTTCTCACCCATAGAAGTCAATATTTCAGGTTTAGGATGGAGGCACATTTTGTGCACTGGAAACTAATGACAGTGGAAGACTGAAAATATTAGGTACAAATACTTAGGCTCCATCAATGCACAATTAGCACTAACATGAATGCATCAAAAAGAGCATGGATCCCATTAGTGTGGGCTTCTTTGTAAGGCTGTGCTAAAGCACCTGAATCTTCCCAACCTGAGCCACCCTGTCTGACTGGTCCTGATCAGATTTTCCGTAGGGTCTGAGAAGTGTGTTAAGTTATTGTGTACTGATGTGGCAGTGGAGACAAATGTGCACAGGGGATGAGAACTTAATTTCAACGTTGATCTAAGTTTAGGTTTTGAACTCAAGCACTCAGAAGTGGAAGTTTAGTGCCTGCGTCCCATAAGGCCATCAAAGCCCTTGTGCAGATGTAGCATATAACATCACTTATGTTTCAATAGTTTACAAATAAAGGTTACTCTATATGCCCTAGTGTATCTCATTAAAAAGGGTCTGGTGTCTTATGTGATTATTTGATTGCGACTCTTTTAGAGGTGCTGAAAAAACAGCCACATTTCTATTTGTTTTCAAATTTGCTATTAAAAATATACTTACACTGGGATTTATCTGCTAAATCTAGCTCAGGGTGAATGTTTGCACCTGATATGAAGACTCTGCTCCACTCTATCCTGACAGTGACATATCGAATAAGCAGGAGGAACCTTTTAAATCATGAAGTATTCCAGTGACGGTTCTGTTGACACTGCACATGAGGAGACCAAGGATCAAGTAAGCACAACCCCATTGATAAAATTAAAGCCCTATCAGTTAATATCGAGAAGTGTAAGTGGCTTGCCCAAGATTACACAAGTCATGGTAGAGCTCAGAATAGAACCCAAGTCTGCGTTCTCCTAATCCAGGGCTTTAGCCAAAAGACCAAAGAGTATCAGGAGTCACTCTTCCAGCAGGTTCAAACAAGCTGAATTCTGCTTTAGTCTGAACAATCTGGCTTGCGACAGACAGATTCAGTATCCCAGTGGTCCGGGTGAACCCATGCTGTGAATGTATTTCTTCACACGCTACTGTGCAAACCGCAAGTTATTATTAAAAACAACATTCCACTTTTTTTAAAAAAGATATATTAAAAACATACACTGTCTGCCCAAATAAGCTCATTCATCAGATGAAAAAAAATGCAGCTGTTTTAACACTCCATGGGAAGGTGATTCTGCTGGGTGAGTTAATAGAAATGGCAGCAAGTTTTTTCCACTCAGAGACAATTTCCTGGCCTCCTGCCGCACTGTATGTAGTGTTGTTGAATGTGCTGAGAAAGGAAGCAAGGGCTCAATAAAAAGAAACCGCTACGGTCATAGATCTCATTCAACGATGCACTGCTTCTTCCATCCAGCCCTGAACAAGGATGAGTAAATCAGTTTGGAGACGCTAAGAATCTTTTCCCACTAGATCTAGTAAACGTGTTCTAGTAGCCTTCCAACATGTCAAACTTTTAGGGATTGAAAAGTTATCTTTTTTTTTCATTCCCTGTCCATTGGAAGTACAAACCTCCATGAAACCTGGTAACCTCCAGGTACAAACACCCACAAATTCTGAGGCTGTTCTAATGTGGATCCAAATTTTACTTTGGGCCCCATCTCCAATAATTGTGAAGGCCAGCCCTTCAGCTCATGTAAATCACGGTAGCTCCATTGACTTCAGTGTGCTATCTGGATTTATCCCAGCTGAGGGCTATGTAAGTGTGATTTTAGTGCTGATGAAAGGTGCTAGGTTAACAGTACCGGGCTCTGAACTGCTCTCTCTATCTGCAGAACAGGCACAGCACGGACAGAGACAGAACTGGGGGAAAAAGCTATTCTGAGCAAAAGGACAACACTGGCACAAGAAGAAATGAGTATAAAGTGGCCATGAATAAATTTAGGCTGGAGATTAGTTGAAGGTTTCTAAACCTCTGAGGAGTGAGGTTCTGGAACAGCCTCCCAATAGGAGCAGTGGGGGCAAACAACCTAACTAGTTTTAAGATGCAGCTTGATAAGCTTATGAACATAATTATATGATGGGGTTGCCTGTGATAGCAGAGGACTGAATTCAATGATCCAGGAAGTCCTTTCCAGTCCTATGTCCTAATGTAATCCTCCACCTTACCTGGAAGAACTGACTATGGGTAAGAGTGAATATGGTCCATTCATTCTTTGGCTTCTCTTTTGCAACAGCCAATTAGTGCCAGGTGTGGTGAACATGCTAGTTCACTGGGAACCAGAATGGGACTCATTTAATTTAAACCACCAAACAGTGCTCAGAAGCTGTATCTACACTGGGAACATTTGGATCTGTAATTCTCCACTGGTGGACGAACAGTAGAAGCTGTAGTGTAGACGGGGGCAGGTGTTTTTACCACTGTGTCACTACAGCTGGTAAAAAAGGAGGACCAAAAATCATGAACATTTCCACCTATATTTTTGAATTTTGAAACGTTTTGACCAACTCTGTGGCTGGCCCCGAGCAGGATGCAAGTCTCATGAAAATGTTCATAAAGAATTTCATTGCATTTTTCCATCAACATTTCAAAAATTGTCCAGTTCTAGTTGTCAAGTCTGTGCCACATCTATATCACTCCACCACCGATGCTTCCATCATTGTTATCCCATTACAGGTCCAAGTTTTCCTCGTTTAACATGCCCAGCTGGTTACAATTTCAGACACTAAAGACCCCAGATGGATTGAAGCTGTTCATACAGAGGTGGAATACTTTCATATTATTTTTTCCCATCCTTCGTAGCAACCAATCCCCCTTCTAGACGCCTCTCCTAATTGAAATGAATCTACTAATCATTTTGAAGCTCCTCAGTCATTGCAATTAATTCAGGGTTTAGAAAAGAGAAGCTTAGCAGCTGTAGCAAGATTATCCCAAATCTGCTTAACTAACTGATTAGAATGTTCCGGAGTTGCCGCCCATTCCAAATGAACATCCATAGAACAAATAACTCCCCATTTTATACCATAAAGGAATGAAAAAAAACTAGCACCTCTTTTCCACTCAATCTCAGCAAATGTAATTAATCATTAATTGCCCAGACTTGTGATTATAATTAACTCTGAGAAATTATTGAATTCCAATTGCCCAGATCGCCAGCCTTACAATGATTAGTACCAAAGCTTGAAATACAATAGTAATAGCTATAAACATCCATTTCCAAAAAATGATGCCATTGCTGAAAGTGCTGAGTTCCTGCGAAGCCATTAATCAAAGGTAAAGTGCTTGTGCAGTCCAACTCCAATCCATTATGGCACCTGAAGGTCTCCAAATCCATCATCTGAACAACCCAGCCAAACACAGAAGGTACCAAACATTGAGTCCATATAATTTCCTGCTGGATCAAAATTTCCTTAAAATAGAGGCATGAACCAAAACCAATCCATTTCAGGCTCTGCTCATAGCAACCGATCCCCAAAAGGACTCAATCTTGCACTCTGATACGTGGGCGCACAGTACTACACTACATTGTAAAATCTGCTCTAGTGTTATTACTCCCAGCATTGCTCAGATACTACACAGCTGGAAGCCCTAGAAAACTAAGTTGTATAGATTTGGAAGTTGAGGAAAAGGCAGCACAAAGATGTTCACAACTATCATTAAAGCAAAGAAAATGTTTTGCTTTTTCATTTGTGCACACAGCTACTTTTCAAGATATATTTGCCTAGGGAAAGCACTCAACAGCATCTCTGAGCCTCAATCACCACTGGAAACTTATACTTTGTATAACTGAGATCTTGCGAAAGTCATGGAGCACAGAGAGACTAAAGCTATGTCTACATAGCAATGAAACACCTGCAGCTGGCCTGTGTCAGCTGACATGGGCTCACAGGGCTCGGGTTGCGGGGCTGTAAAATTGCCGTGTAGACTGTTGGGCTCAGGGTGGAGCCTGGGCTTTGGGACCCTGCCCACTTGCTGGGTCCCAGAGCTTGGACTCCAGCCCGAGCCCAAACATCTACACTACAATTTACAGCCCCACAGCCTAAGCCCGGCGAGCCCAAGTCAGCTGACACAGGCCAGCCGCAGGTGTTTAATCGCTGTGTAGACATAGACAGTGAGATGAATGTTCATAGTAAGTGGTGCTGGTATCTCAGTAGGTGGCACTCTTCTCTCTGAGTAAGCATTGAAGTGAATACCGGCTCTAGTTAAAATTCTGATCCAGAGCCAGAAGTGTGTTTGGATTTCAAACACCCCAACGATCTGGGGTGTTCAGATCTGGTGTTCAGGTTTGACTCTCCTCTTTACTTTGAACCAATACCCAGCACAATGTTAAGGGACACTCTGCAAGGGGTGGCATGTGGCAGATGAGGCTTGAAAATGAGGTCCTGACCACCTGTGGCCATTACCGATTCCATGGCTCTTTCCATCAGAATAGTTAACTCTCATGTGCTGGCTATGTTCCTACTCAGGTAATTCTATTCTGCCTCCCTAAATTCCCCTGGCATTTTCACAGAGATTTTCTGATAGCTCAGTGGTTTGAGCATTGGCCTGCTAAACCCAGGGTTGCAAGTTCAATCCTTGAGGGGGCCATTTAGGGAACTGGGGTAAAAAAAGCTGTCTGGGGATTGGTCCTGCTTTGAGCAGGGGGTTGGACTAGATGATCTCCTGAGGTCCCTTCCAACCCTGCTATTCTATGACCCTCCCTTTCCCTATTCTATTCTCCTACACAACCTGTCAGACCATTGTGTAGTGTTTCTGTGCCCTGTGAACAAATGCTAGGTGTTCCACCCTAAAGGAAGCTGCATTTCAGTGGCAGGAGAGGTGTTCTCTGTGTTCTTTACCTCGCCAACAAATCTGTCGTGAAGCTTAAGTAGTTGGAGCCTGTTTTTTACATTCTTACTCACACTGAGTAGCACTTTACACCTTGAGTAGTCCCATTGACTTCAGTGGGATGATTTGGGAGAAAAGGTATAACTCAGGAAGAGGAAGAGTATCAAAAGTTGACTCTCTTTATATACAAAGCCTTCTGAGCTCTGCAGATGAAAAGGTGGTCTAGATATGCAATGCATTATTAGTGTTAGTAGTAGGAGCTGTGATTCTGATACCTTCTACAGGCCCGATCTTTATCCTGGCCACGTGGCTTTTTTATGCCCAATATAGTGAAACCATTAAAGATCGGAAGAATTTTTTTCTTTGCCGTCCTAGCCTGACAGAGTGCCACTCCCCCACCCCTTTTGCCCACTCGATCCTTCCTAAATAGATTATAACTATAAGCAATCAGTTGATGCATCATCATATTATTATTATTTATTTCTTCTGGCAGAGCCCACAATGGTCAAGGTACTATTCAGTCATAATGGAAGTTGTGATCCTTGCCATGATGAGTGTAACTGAAGGTAGAATTTGGCCTGTGGAATCTTATTATTGGTGGTAATGCACAAACCAGGAAAAAACAACAACTTGACTTTCAGATCGCAGAATGTGTTTGTGGTGCTGGCAATGAGGAAAAACACATCTTCTTACTTATCAACAGAGCATATCTGATGTGGAGGTATTGAGAGAAAATAAACGTGGCCACAATGCCACTTTTCAGAGTCACTTTTCGGAGTCGAACAGCACTTTAAGTAATGACGCATCTTGGTTTAAAATCCTCCCTCAGTTGGGGTAAATCAGTGTAACCCCATTTACTTCAAGGGAGCTACATGAATCAGATCAGACCAGATCCTTAGCTGGTGTAAACGGACACAGGTTTAGTAATAGCTATTAAAATGAAGCGATGCTGATTTCTACTACCTGAAGATCTGACCCTGTAAGCCATAATGGCCAGGTCAATATCTCTTCCCTCCTCCTATATTCCTAGTTGAGGTGTAGATTCAGTGAGTTGACTAGAAACACTTTAAGGGAAGAAAGCCCAGTAGAATTTCACCTAGAGCATTTCAACAAGTCTCAAGGACTATTTTGGTTTAGGATGAGATTTGTGAGCTTTCAAATAAAGAAGGAAATTTAAAAAAAATAACAATAACAGAGAAACTGGGGGTGGGGGGTGGGAATGAACTGACCGGATATGTTAATGAAAAACCTCTGCTGTTTTTCAGGACTCTGTTCCCAGGTGGAGACATTAATATTTCAGCTGGAGAAATCATGTCTGTAACACAGAGTGTTTATCCTGATCCCAGCAAAACTCCTGTCCAGTTCTCAGACTTCTACACTTTTCAGTCAATAAAGACCTACATATTAATGGCAATTGCCTTGTGTGTCTATGTAGAGTTTTCATTGTCTAAAAAACCAAACTGATAATCTATATGATATATACCAATACTGGGAGGCCAGTAGTGTCAGCCCATTGGGGAGGTATGAGGGATGGTGGGGGAGTATAATTATAGGGGAGCCCTAATCTTTGTACAATCAAAGTCTTCATTGAACATAACAATTTGCATAAAATGGAGCAGACTTCTAGAGCCACCCTCTCCTCTAATATGGTGGACTGGCCCATAGAGACTACATGTCCCAGGATGCAATACTCCAGTCTTCTTTGACTGTCCCAGCATTATATGCTAGGGGGACCTGTAGTCTTTGATTTCTGCACCCCATATTAAAGCTGAACGCAGCCATGGGCTGCCTTTTAATATTTTGTGAGCCATGTTTGCCTTGCATGTTGCTCTTTGGGGCCTCCTCATTATCACCTTCAACCTCTCTCCTGGTCTTGAAAGGGGAAGTGGCACCTCTAATTAAAAAGTGGCACCTCTACGGTGGCAGAGTGAATGGCCCACGCACTACACTGAACAGTGATCTTCCCAAATTTCTCATTACTGAGCCCAGCAGAAACAATGCCAGATGAACGGCAGGAAATTCTAACTATCGCAGCAGACACAATTAGTCTCTTATCCTGCTATTGCTGGGTACAATCTAGGTCAGGGACCCTGACCTCAGCGTGCACACACACACACATAAACAAATCCAAAACACTGCAAATGAGTTTAAGAACTGGCAAACTGTAGTGTGCACGTTTTGAATACTGTATCAATAGGGCTTGTTACAAGGAACTTGACCCGACGCCAAGTGTGATTTTTTTTTCCTTTTAAGAGATGTACAAAATGGTCTGACAGCCATTTTGGCTCAGGGTTCCCACTGTAAAATCCTTCTAGCCCATGCAAAGTTATTTTCCCACTGCAGATGAAGAGAACAATGAATAAATAAAGAAGGAAAATAAGTTCAGCCTAATGAAATTGAGGATGGGCTATTGTTCTCTGACACAATTTGTCTTTAGGCTTTTGTCAAGCATTTCAGACAGTGTAACAGCCAAACAAGCTCTTCCTTTAGCCGGGCTTCCCCATTCACTAAAGCATTTCATTAGGAAAATAATCACTTGATTGGTCCAACCAAACTTTGAACAGTATCCAAGGAATCCACAGCAGAAACAAAAATATGCCTCAGCCAATCACTCACCAGGTGATCTCTTCCAACCTTTTCCATTTAAGTAGTGACTAAGATATCATTGGTCTATCAAGGCTTTAGGGCCAAAAATGTTACTTTTCTGTAAAAGTTGGTCCCAACATAGAAGTGTGCTGAGAGTAGAGAGAAGATTGCATGCTATGTTATCTAGCATGCCTGTCTAGGTCTTTACATGATGTCCATCTAAATAGTACTGAATAGATATAGTGCACTGCATACTATATTTGATAATGTATAGTCACAGCTCTGTTTGTATCAAGGAATTAGATCAGGAGCTGCTTATTTTCTTGTGCATGAAAGAAGGTTGGTGAGATAGTGCTACCTCAGAGGAGTTCTGGAAATTAAACTCAATCAGCAAGACAAACTTTGAAGGTAAGCCATATTTAGACCTTGAAAACTCAGGTTTGCTACATTTTCAAGTAAACAGCTAGAGCATATTGATATATTTTTGCGCTCAGTTGTTTCCTCAGTGTTACTTCTCTATTACTAGCCTTGGAGAAGCTATAGAGTCCAGCCCAGGTCTGGGTTCCCAGCTTGTGCAGAGCCTGGCATATTTTGCATCTATTAGTACACTGCCCTTTGTGCAATCTGCTCCATTCCGTGCAACTCTTTGCTACCCAGGGAGAAATTCTTTGTGTAAGATGGAGGGATGCCTTTAGCAAACCTTGGCCACATGTTAAAATTAGAGGTGAGGCCAAACTGCAACAGAAGACCCAAACCACCTTGAATGTTGATGAAACTCATATTTGTATCTTAATATGAGTGTAGACGTTCTGGTCCATCTTTAGGAAAAGAACCTGAACCAGAATAGAAGATCAGATCTCCTTAAACTTTGGGGAATTTAGGGTGTCAGTTTTTCAGTGCAGACCAATCTCTTGGGATAATTTCATTCACTCCTTGACTTGACAACATAAGTGATAATCATTTCAACGGGAATTGCGCACACACATTGGAGCGAAGAATGGATTGAGGCTAATTATGGCCTAAATTTTAAAAAATGAAAAATGTGGGAGAAGCAACCCTGGAATGAGTGAGGGAGCCAAATCAGATGCTGGGAAAGACAGCCCCATTACCAAGAGTTTGGGGGAATCTTTGGAATGCAAGGTCCAGACTGCCTGATTTGTTCACCTGGTCTGAGTCCTGTAAAGAACATACCCCAGAGAACTGCATTACCTTAGAGTAGGAAAAATAACATCTAACCCTCCAGATTATTATCACAACTACCATGCCAACTGATACAGAGTTTCTGAGTTAACACAATGTTTCCACTCTTTCGGCTCAATAGCAGAGTGGGTGTATGGAAATGTCATCATTTTGGCAATCAATCAAACTATTAAAGTCTCTGCTGAAAGGCCAAACAGATTCTGTTATGCTGAACAAATAACTGCTCCGGACGAGGCTGCAAATGAGATGGAAAATGCAGCTCCTGCTGCAGTCTTAAGAAAAGAATTCCTCCCCCCCCAAAACCAGTCAGGGTGTGGTTTAGTTTTCAGTCTTCATTATTGAGATGTGGATTTGTAAAAGAAGACGAGGCATTAAAAATAGCACTTTCAAAAGGTTTTGTTGAGAGAGAGGATAATAAAACAAAAATAATAGTTTGTTCAAGCTCAGTTTTCCTCAGGGGCACCCTCAATGCCACTTTTGTTGTGGATAAGGAGCGACTGCTTTTCTTGGGACATTTGTGTGAGTCTGGGGGGTGCACAATGGGGTATTTGTGCCAGCTTCAGTTATGCAATGTGTTACTTACACCAACCTGGGGTGCAAAGAGGAGTAATATTTTGTATTTGTAGTGGCATCGCCAATACTACGCAAATGCACGAAGCGACCTCTTTATTAACTACTATTATTTATTTGTATTACAATAGCATCTCAAAGCTCCAATCTGGGGTCAAGGACCCATGGGTCTGAGGACAGCACACACATGCAATAAAAAAGACAGTCCCATCTCCAAAGAGCTTACAATTTCAGCATACGATGAGAGGCAATAATTGGATACAACAAATGAATGGCAGTGGGAGAAGACCCGGTAATAATGACATGATCACGTTTAGTATAACAAGCAGCAGCCACAGCATATCAACTGCCTGGCTATTTTTGAGTGCCACTGTACTGCATAGCCAGCAAGGGTGCCAGTTGCGATGAAGTTTGCTTGTGATGTAGGCACCTGTGCACTAAGGATGTGAATGAGACCACCAAACTCATTTCACAAGGATTTCCATCCCTGCTAACCTGAGTGGATTTGAACCAGTGACCAAGAGGTGAAAGAATCTCCCCTCTCCAGTTTTCTGATGAATTCATCCTCCTCATGATGTTATTTCCAAGGAACCATTTACACCTTGTCTCTTCACAACAAGTGGGATAGTTAACGAATAGAAACAATCAAGATTAATCTGAAAAAACCAAACTTGCTGATCATTTCTATGGACAACAGTCCTCCAGAGTCCGTGTGCTCTTTCAGCAACTGTGTATTTTTGGGAAGATGGAGGGTCATATTTCCAGCACGGAAACATGACCTAACTAAAGTTGTGCAGGCGGAACCTTATCTTAAAAATGGCGTCTGACTGGGACGAAGAACTGGAAGTGTAGACACTGTGACTGGTTAGGAGAGGAGTGCACAGCCAATATTCATTGTGGTATTTTCTAACTTTTGAGTGCCTGGCTTTGCAACCTTAACGTTCTCTCAACATGAGTAACATTGGTTTTGTGTGTGTAATAATATTAAAATGAAATACGGCGAACAAAATAAACCCACTTGAAGCAGAAGCTTCTGAACACCTCACAGATGAACCCCAGCTGCAAGGTTCAAGACCAAAGTTTGAGGTTGTTTGGCTCCTGACGTTTGGCTCATCAAGGAAATGGAAAGGGTGCAGGGAGAAAGAGCTGTGAAATATGGATCTGGAGTCCTTCAGAGTTTGAGGTGTTCAAATGCAAGGGACTGGCATGGCTCCAACTCTCCTTTTACATTTAAAATTCTTCCTTTATTTCCCTAAATTTTAAAAAATTAATATAATAAAGCGCAAAGGGAAACAACTATGCTGCTTCCTCCAGGAGTGAATGAAGGAATGTCAAGGAAGAGAATGAAATCCCTAGCTGAAGATCATTTAGCGGGGAGGGATAGCTCAGTGGTTTGAGCATTGGCCTGCTAAACCTAGGGCTGTGAGTTCAATCCTTGAGGGGGCCACTTAGGAATCTGGGGCAAAATCAGTACTTGGTCCTGCTAGTGAAGGTAGGGGGCTGGACTTGATGACCTTTCAAAGTCCCTCCTAGTTCTAGGAGATAGGATATCTCCATAAATTTAAATTTAGTGAAACATTGAGTTACAGACCCAAACACTTACACCGAAAGCAAAACACCAACTGTTCCGCATGAAATTGATGACTAACAAGAACACAGAAAATCACCCTGCTTTGTATCACAGGTATCCTTTCCCTGCTCTAATGAGGCTAACTGGCTGATCTAAGCCATATGTTTTAATCATCATGAAAACTGGGCTGATTTCCCTCTTGTCTTAAAACAGCATTTCAATATTGGCTAACAAACCTACAGCTAATACTACCCAGTTTCTGCAATACACATTGGCTGTGTGGAAACTATACTACTTCCCCCAAGGGATAGCAGTGAGTGGTTTACATTTTGGGGTCAGACCAGGAAAGCCCTCTTTGTTTTCATTCACTTGTACATTCAAGCCAACTTTGTGGCGCTAAGTAGATAAAATTAGTGTCAAAGCTGAGTTTTCCCGTAACTAGCCTACGAGCTGTAATTTTTATGGGAGTTCTTTCTATTATGGATTACCAGCAGTTTAGGATTCTTTCCAGCTGGAATGGAGCGGTACGCACTCTCTCACATGAATGTTTCTAAGCTAAAACCTTCTAAGCACAGGCATAAAACAAAAGCCCCATCTCCTGGATATAGCTGTCAGCTTGGAAGTGAGAGCAAAAAGACATTTCCTGTTCTTTCTAAATGGTTTTCCCAGGCAGTAAATGCTCTTATAACTTGCACACCACCCCAGAATCAAACACCCTGTAAGATTTGGTGCTATCTAGCTTTCAGTTGAAGTGAACTTTAGCATGACTCCAGCCAGTGGGAAGCTCCCCTTTGGCTTACCTCACAGAATTGTTCCCTCCAGATCATGAAGCTCCTCATGCAAGTCCCAGCTGCAGTAGCACGGAGGCTACACACCCACTAGCCATGTCTAGGTAAGGAATTCTATTAAAAAAATGTGCTACCACCAGTTTGGCTGAACTGGGGTTAGTACTGCTGCGAGCGCCCGTGTAGACAAAATTGGCAGCAGGTGCTGTTTTTACCAACTTGTCCAAGGGATGAGAGACTCCACTAACTGGTGAAGTCTCTTTTAATGACTGGCTGCCAGTTGGCAGGCTCAGCAATCTCCAGTTGGTTTTCTAAAAAGCAATTGTCTGCAAGGTGTTCATCATACTGGAGACCGCTGTCCCGCTACCCAAACTTGGGCAGGCTTTTCAGCTTTGGCAACTGGCCCGAGAGAGGCACAAGGAGGAGGCAGAAATGCCCTGTTGATTTCCTATTTTCCTTATTTTGTTCTTTGTGAAAGACGCTCCGCACTGTTAAGGATTGGGGAATTTTCCAAGGACGCCCCAGGGCTATCTTTTGCATTGTCACAGAGTTTATTCCTCAGCAGTGGCGGCTGGTAAACTCTGTTCATTTGCTATCCTCTCCTGCCTCCCAAACACAGCCATGCAAGACTTTGGGATGAGATCTAATAAGCTGTGGCACAATCTCTAGGGCAGCAATGTGGATTGGGACACTTAGAACCAGTATGGACAAAACATTAGAGGACCTAGGAAACAGGCCTGCATGGGCCAGGAGATGAACAGAATGATTTATTAGGTCTTTTCTGTTCCTAATTTCTATGATTCTGTGAGCAAACCTCAAGCACCGCCTACCCTGCCTGCTCTCCACTAGCTGTCTCTGGCTTGGTGTGGGCCTAGCTCTGGCCACAGCATGGTTGTCTGTACCCCAAACAGAAAACACAACTTAATGGGAGCAAAATGAATCCACTCAAACAAGAACCAAAAGCTAGTTCGCACGGACCCTCTGCAAGTCTTCTTCACCTACATTTCTTTCCCCTCAGATAGAATTCTCAACTCTATCTCAATCACAATCTCCTTCCCTGACTCACTGTCCTTCTCTCTTCTACCTATGCAATGTTATTCTCTAAAGAAAAATACTCTCCACAAATAAAAGCCTGGTGAGGTTTGTTACCCATAGTTCTTTCTTATGGATGAGAAACTCCAGACGTTTGGCACACACAGAAAGAGTAGTTTATCAGAAGACAGATTTCTTTGCAATGCCTCAACGAGCACCTCCCCACTGTAAGCCACTCCTAATAGAATTCACCTCAGTCTCTTCAACGCTTTTTCTGTCTCCTAAATTACAGCTAAGTAAGAGGGCAATTAGGTTTCAACAATTAAAATGATTTACTTACCACATGTAACAGCCGGAGCATCTCCACATATCTGCAGAAAGAGACAGAATTATATTAATTGCCATCAAGCTAGCGCTGAATGAATCAGGGTGGAATGTGCAGCTTCATTTGCAAGAGAACAGCCAGATTTTGACAGACAACTCACACTTTCTCCGAAGACACCAGCTCCTGGGCGATGAGGTAAGCTCTGGACTGTCCTTCTTTCTGTTGAAAAGGAAACCACAGGTATTAAGAAATCTCCCATCCCAAAACCAGAAAGGGCTGGAGAATGCCCTCAATCTACATGATCCTTGAATCTGAATCACAGAATCTTATGGAATGGACCTCATCTAGTCCAACCCCCTGCTCAAAGCAGGACTAATCCCCAGGCAGATTTTTGCCCCAGATCCCTAAATGGCCCCCTCAAGGATTGAACTCACAACCCTGGGTTTAGCAGGCCAATGCGCAAACCTCCTTGAGTCTTTCTATTCAGAGTTTATACACTGCCTAGCAGAATGGGGTCCTGATCCACAACTGCAGCTCTGCCACCCCAATACAAATAAATAAATACAAAATATACAGCCTGAAATGGGGTCATGCTCTCACGATTCAAGAAGTTGTTTTGGTGGCTATGGACTGACTCCTGACCTTACTGAAGTCAGAGAGAAAATTCCCATTGATTTCAATAGGGCAAAAATTCATCAGAAAGAAAGGCCGACAGATTCTAACTCTAGAAGGGTAATTTCATGACTGCAGGAGGCAAAGCTGATCCAGTTTGTTCAGGCCACTCATGGGCAAGGAAAAGGTTTTTGTTTTTTAAATAGTTATATTCCAAACTGTTCCCACTGCAGCGCAAGCTACAGAAGCAAACAAGTTCAAAGGGCTTTCTTGCGTGCTAAGCACATTTGATGAAATTAAACTGTGGTAACTATATCCTGAAAGCAAACAGTGCAGTGTGAAAGCAAATAACATCGTTTTGAGATCACAGTGGAATGCATTTAAATCAGCAGAGATCTCCGAGGACCCAGAAACCTGCCAAAGAAGCAATGGCAGTGGTTCTTCAAGGCTCAAGAGGCTAATTATGATGCTTTGCTCTGGTTTCATGAATCATTTGGTTTTAATCTATTTACTTATTTAGTCTATTTATTTATTTAGGATGTTTTTAAACAGGTTTACAAATCATGGCCATATAAATATCAGAGACAAAATGCTAATCATTCCAAGAATGAGCTTTTGTTTAGAGCAACATTCTATAGTGATATAATCAGCAGATCCCTCTATTTAACAGGTTGTTAGCATATTACAGAGCGAGCCTCTTTACCAAGGTAAGAAATGGACAAAGCGTTGAAACCTTTATTGAGAAAGAAATCTTATACTATAGTAAGTTTGACTTATACAGCAGCGATAATAAAGCAAGGAAGCAGCCGTCAATGAACAAGAGGCCATGCAACATGCCGTTTATTCTTAACAAGCAGGAGGCAGCATCAAGTGTATTGTTTAAAGGGACCAGGTGTGTCATTAATCCATTGCTTAAAGAGCCTCCTTTAGGTGTACAATCAAGCAGCTGGGAGATGCTGAGCTGTCGTGCACTACGCTGGTTATTGTAATTCAGGTGGCAGCCTGAAATGGTGTCCTTTATCACCACCAATTCTGGATGAGAATTGCTTGGGTTGTTAGGGATCATGGTGAAATCATTTAATTCAGCCCCTCAATGAAGAGCATTTGTAAGGCCCCGGACCAAAATCCCAGATTCAAACTCCATCAACCTTTGCTAAAGTTTAGAGCACATTCAAGCTTGGCAGTTCATCTCCAGTGTTTAAACACTAATAACAGAAATCTGAACAGTAATTCCCCAAGCCTTTTGCATCTCTGGACAAGTAATCTTGTGACATCAGGTTTTTTTTTTAACCCAATGTTTCTGCTCCTTACTGCTTCCACTCAGACTGGAAATAAGAAAGGTTGAAAACAGTTTAGGGAAGATTTAAGCATTCCCTGAAAGTGCTGGAAACTGAAATCCAGTAGCATGATAGCTGGACCATGAAAACCCAGATGCAAAATTGACTGAAATGAAACCAACCAATCTTGTTTCCATGCCCATCATTACTAAATCACAAAAAGAAAATAATCGGAATAAGTAATGAAAAGCAAAGTTACATTTTAAAAATTCTTTCCGTTTTAAGGTGCTGTTTCCTACACAAGTAAGGATTTTTTTAAAAAAGTAGTGCATTTTATATTGTCAGTGCCCCTTTAATATAAAAATGTTCAGCAGCAACAAATGAGTCCTAAAACTGTCTATAACAGAGCAGCAGAGGGTTATTCAAAACACCCTGCAAATAAATCTCTTTTTACTGTACAAATGAGTGAAGGAAAGGAATGACTTTCCACCAGGAAAGTAATCAGGAACCCCATTCTGTTAGGTCATGGGTTCTCAACCTGGGGGTGGTGATCCCAGAATGGGGAAGATAATGCCCAGATCCAGTTGCTATATAGAAAAGGATATGAACCACTGTGTGAGGTGAATAAGACTTCAGAAAAGACGGAAATAACCTGTCTTTTCCATCTATAATCTGTTTCACTGTAATCTGATGGGGAGCCAAGTGGAAGATTTAGAGACTCAAAGAAATTAGTGATCTAATCATTCATTAGATTCAGTCATCTAATCCATCTCTCTGCCAATACAAGATTGTTGCCTACAGTATGCTTTGTTGATTCTTGTTTAAATGGTCCAAAGAGTGGTGCTTCTCCCATTTTTCTTTGGGACACTTTCTACTACAGTTGAACAGATCTAGTATAGGTTTCAGAGTAGCAGCCGTGTTAGTCTGTATCTGCAAAAAGAACAGGAGTACTTGTTAGTCTCTAAGATGCCACAAGTACTCTTGTTCTTTTTGCAGATCTAGTATAAGCATTTTTTCCTGAAAGTCATCTTTTCCCTTTGTTAATTTCATTCCACTATTTGTAGTATACTCCTTGTACTACACTATACATTTGTGTTTACACTTTACAATCATTCCCTAAGGGTTACCCTGTTTCTCTTTTTGTCACCAGTGACGATACATGGCATACACTAGTGTCGGCACACAGGAGCTACCACATGTCGCTGGTCAGCATCAGGATATTCTGGGCTCTTTTTCTTCCTTCCCCTTTTGACTTGCAGACATAAATCAATTGAATGGGAATTTTATTTCTGGATTACCAAACCTAATACTGGCCAGTTTGCACGTCCTCTATTGACAGGCTTGACCAAGAAGCGAAGTATATTTCACCATTGGTGTGGACCCACTCGCCTTTTATGTATACAGATTGTCGCGGTCTGTAATTCTACTTGTGATTAATATGTCTTAGTCGAGAGACAAAACACTGGGACCCCTGGTGTCACATGACCAGTCTAGGGCGAGTTTTGAGACAGTGTCTCTAGGCGTTGCCCGTCTTGTGTTATTTAATTACTGTTTGCTTAACCAGGAAATGAACTCTGAGATTGACGACAGTGTCCGGAGACGGACTTCTGGGAATAGCAGGAGGTAGGGGGCGCGGGTCCCTCAACTATCAACTTTCTAAAACAAAGCCCAAGTGATTATTAAAACATGACTGAGCTACCACATTTGTAGTGATCTTTACTGTGTACTCTTCAGCCCAGCAGTAAGCCCTCTTGTACGCTTCCTCCCCAGGCTGCTGCTTCAGTAGCTGTGTACTCCAATTCCCGCTGTTTGTCTGTACTCAGCAGATGGAAGAGATGGATCTAGACAGAGCCAGAATCCTCTGTGCCTAACTGAGTCTTGTCCTTATTAGCCTCATCTGCCCCACAATCTAAAATATATGCTATATACAAGCAAAATGGTCCCTCACATTGCCTGCCCTCAACAGTCAATGGAGTTTTCATCTGATAATGAAGCTGCTCCTATATCAGGATATCAGGTATAACTTCCTGACAGTGAGATCTCTGACTTTGGATAATGGTCTCTTGAGGGATGTGGTGGAAGCCTCATTGCTAGGTCATTTAAAACTGGACTGAACAGAGCACTGGAGAATATGCTGGGGAGCACTGACTAGACAAACTACTCTAAAGGCCTTTTCCATCTCTAAATACTACGAACTCTTATTGGTCTGGGGAGGGCCAGGTAGTGCCCTGTTTGTTAAGCATATGATTTCCATGCTGCTTCCAACTCCCATTGGCCTATGGGAATAAAACCAGACTCTCTGGATTTGAACCATCTCTTGAGAGAGAGTGCAAAGCAGGAAATCTAATCATCAAGCTGTCTTGCCCGTTTTCCTAGACCAGGGATCGGCAACCTTTCCGAAGTGGTGTGTCGAGTCTTCATTTATTCACTCTAATTTAAGGTTTCGCGTGCCAGTAATACATTTTAACGTTTTTAGAAGGTCTCTTTCTATAAGTCTATAATATATAACCAAACTATTGTTGTATTTAAAGTAAATACGATTTTTAAAATGTTTAAGAAGCTTCATTTAAAATTAAATTAAAATGCAGAGCCCCCCAGACTGGTGGCCAGGACCCGGGCAGTGTGAGTGCCACTGAAAATCAGCTCGCGTGCCGCCTTTGGCACGTGTGCCATAGGTTGCCTACCCCTGTCCTAGACAAAACTGATATCCAACACCTGCCCAAAGAATATGCTTTTGTGACTCTTCCAAAATTGTACCCAAGTAGTCGGCCACAATATTCCTCATTCAATGGCAGTCTCTAGTTTGCATATCAAATACTGTGCTTTAACTATCATATATGGATACTAACAGCTGATTGCAAGTCACTTGACATAACCTATTCCTGTTCACAGATGGCGTAATAGACAGAAGGGGCAGATGTGGTGCCTCAAATGACCACAAGCATCTAATTAACACACACAGACTCTGTATTAGGATAAAGAATCAGCAGATTAATTGGTTACACACTCTGCATGGTGGGATATCAACCTGAAACTTAGGGCCCAGACTTCTGCCAGAGCAGTCAATGGAAGCAGGATGGGAACCTAAAACTCGAATGGCCCTGATTTTGCAAGCCTTTTGCATACAGAACTCCCACTGACTTCAGTAAGACACAGAGCTTTGTGTAACTGAGAGCTCACTGTACCAGACTTGGGAATGTTGAGTTTGCTCAGCCTAGTCATTGTCCTTCATTTAGAAAAGTATAAAGCCACATCAGTGGATTGTTTCTTAAAGATTGAAGGTCTTGCTGGACAGGAAAAAGACTACTTGACCCAGAAAGCAGCCAGCTC